ATTTACAAATCTCATTTTAGTAATGAGTAATAACGACGAAAAATAAGTGAAAAATAACAAAAAAGGTAGTGTTTTTATTGTTTTTAATTTAAGTAATTACCTGTCAGCATTTTAGATTTCATTAGTACAGTTTTAGATTTCGAAAAAATATACAATTTTTCGAAATAAAATGTATTTTTAGATTATGTATACATAAAAAATATACAATTTTTATAAAAGCATCAACTATGCGTGTGATTTTTTTTTTGAAATTTTTAAATTGATTGAATCGTACCTAAAAAATAAAAACTAAAAATTGACGAATTTGGGAAGGAGGATGGAAATGAGGTTGGTGGGATAAAATTGCGCTAATTTAATCACATATAACGTAAAAAATAAAACAAAAAATTAATTTTGGGGCAAGGCATTTTGCCTATCTTTACGGGAGGGACTCTATATATACTAACAGGTAATTTTATGGTTTAAATTAATTATATATTATGTAACTCATTTGCGTTTTATACAAAAATTATTTTTAAAACCAATAGTTGTATTTTTACCAGTAAATTTACAACATAACTTTAGAATGTTTTTTCTTTTTGCACTATACATTTAGAGTAACTTTTATTGCAACGAGTTTGAAGCTTAAAGTAACTCTTTGTGGTTAATGTATATATATATATATATATATATATATATATATATATATATATATATATATATATATATATATATATATATATATAGTAAAAAAACTGTAAAAACTTGCTGTAGGTACTGTTAAATTTATTTTACACTCCTTATTATAAGTAAGCATAGTTGAGTAGTGTAATAATTCTTCTATACCCCGCTGAAAAACGAAATATCAAAACAAATGTGACAAACTGTCACTAAGTCAACTCAAGTAAAATTTAATTCAGTTGATCATGTTAATATTATGTATGTATAGGCCATTCAGGCCCATTGCTGGATGGATAATTTCCATCGTTTTCTGTTCTTAGCTATCAGCTTTCAATATCTGATTCCCATCTCTCTGACATCTCTTCATTTCTTTCTTGGTCTTCTTCTCTTTTTTTGCCCTCAGGTACTCCCCAAACAATATTTTTGAGTAGTCTATAACCTAGCATTCTTCTATCATTCTAGTCTACGTTTTTTCACTACTTTTGTTATTGTAGAGTTAGCATACAATTGGTACACTTCTGCGTTAGTTCTCTCCTTTATTCTCTCTCTACTACTTTTCCACCAAACATTTTACAAAGTATCTTACTTTCTCTTACTTGCAATCTGTTTTGTATGGTTTTGTTCATAGTCCATGTCTCAGCAACGTATAGTATTGTGAGTCCAATTATAGTTTCGTATACTCTTATTTTTGTATTACGAGATATAATTTTGACCTTAATTATTTTGCTTATGGCTCCATCACATCTGTTGTTCTTGGTCAGTCTCAGATTGATTTCAGTTTCTTCCTTACATATACATGTTAATAGTATTATTACGAAATATGAGTTTAAAGTTTTAATTTTAATTCCATTGCAAAGTATGATTTCATTGATCTTATGTATTACCCATAAACATTGAAAAAGACTGGGGACAAAACGCATCCTTGACTCACTACTCTTTGTTGTTAACTTTATGAGTGATTTCACCTTGGATTACAATTGCATTCCTAATTCTTAGTAATTTTCTAAATGCATATTGGGATAATGTCTCGCATTCATTGTATACTCTGTGAATAATATGCTCTTCGCACTTTCTTGCTTTGAATTTTTGGGAGTGACTAAGTAGGCACAAGGGATTATCAAAAGTACTAGACAAATGGGATGGAGGAATTTCTAGGTGGAGAAGTCAGAAAAATCAGCAACCTGCAACAGATGACACACTTATACTACCAGCGAATAAAGTCAAAATGATTACCATAACTGAACGGTTAAGGTACACGGTACTTATTGCCTCCAATGAAGAAGACCTGCAATGACTTGGTAACAGGGTAACCGAAGCATGTGATGAATATGGGCTAAAACTTAATACTTCTAAGACAAAATTTATGGTTGTCAGCAAAATGGAGTTACAACCAACGAACATCAGAGCGTATGGAATAGAGTTAGAAAGAGTCCACAATATTACCTACTTAGGTGCAAACGTTAACGATATCTGCGATATAAATAAAGAAATAAGAATACGCATTGAAAAAGCCAGAGCCGCCTTTTATAAATTAAAGAAAATTCTAATTAATTAAATATTCTTCTAATTAAATTTTAATTAAATATTACATTAAACCTTAAAATCAGATTAATACGCTGCTACATATTCTCCACATTGCTGTATGGTATGGAGAGCTGGACCCTTACAGACACATTAATGAAAAAATTAGAGCATTGCGGATAAATTGGGTTGATCGAATAAGAAATGAAATAGTTTTACATCGAATGAAAAAGAGCATAGAAATAACAAAAAAAATTCGTAAGTTACAGTATTTCGGTCATGTAATGAGAAATCCAGAGAGGTATAACCTTCTACACATAATACAGGGTAAGATCACCGGAAGTAGAAGCCCATGCCGACGAAGAACATCCTGGCTTCGAAATCTCCGAGAATGGTATCAAGAAACCACCGCTAATTTATCTAGAGCCGCCGTCAAGAAAGGTATTATTGCCAATATGATCGCCAACGTTCGATAATCGTACACGGTACTGAAAGAAGAAGAAGAACGGTTAAGCCAGATAAGCGAAAAATTCGGACTTTAGTTTAACACCGGAAAAAAAAAATAATCGTAGACAGAGCAAATAATAATCCACCACACATACACCAAGTAGGGAATTTCGAAGTGGTAGACAGATTTGTATACTTGACTCCCTAATAGCCAAAAATGGCGATTGCTCCTCAGAAATCAAGCGTAGACTAGCAATGTCCCGAACCTCAACAGCTAAACTTATTAAAATATGGATAGATCGAACCATAATAAGGAATACTAAGCTAAGGTAGGCCAATGGCCTTATTTTCCCATTACTACATACGCAGCTAAAATATGGACTCTCAAAAAAATCGATAACCGCGATAAGATCAAGGCCTATGGGTCTATAGAAAAATCCTTTCTTTAGAAGCAACCTATCCATTCTGGAAGAGCTTGATACCAAAGATAGGCTAATAAAAAGGTAAATGGAGCATACCTTATTTACTTTGTCCATATAGCTAGAAGATAGGGGACCATGGACCTATTGCTAGTAGAAGGAAAGGTAGAAGACAAGAGAAAGATCTCCAACACGATGGTCAGACTAATTAAAGTCTCTAGGAAAATAAAATCAATCTAAATCGCCTTGAGGCTTTCGAAATGTGGTGCTATAGAAGAATTTTAAAAGTTTCCTGGGTGGAGAAGATTCGAAACTCCACAATACTAGAACATCTCAGCAAGACTACTGAGATCATAAAAAGCATCAAGCAGAGAAAGCTGGAGTATTTCGCACATGTAATGAGAGGTCCCAAATATAGGTTGCTACAAAATATCATGCAAGGAAAAATAACAGGCACACGCAGTCCAGCACGAAGAAAAACCTCATGGTTGAAGAACTTGCGAGATTGGTATCGTGTTGATACAAGCATGCTATTTAGGGTGGCAGTAAATAAAATTAAGATAGCTATGATGGTAACCAACGTTCTGAAAGGACATGGTACATGAAGAAGAAGGGAAAATTCCTACATGAAGCCGTCTATATGGCGCAGGATCGCAGCCTATGGAAACAATAAGCTAATATTATTTGGAGTGTCACCAAGCCCTGATAAGGGCCCAAGGAATGAGAAGGAGAAAGTAGACAGAATGGTGGTATCAATAGAACAATAGAACAACTAAATATTAAGAAAGGGTTAAGGGTAATATATAACATAGCAAATAATGACCTTTTGGGACACATTTTTCGAAACACTGGGTTAGGGAAGATCACAATACAGGGTGGCTTGGAAGTTAAAGTCGCTAAAGGCAGATCCTTGACAAAGTTCATCGACTACATTGTTTTCATTGGCGTTTCGCTATCACAATATGCAAGATTAACGGAATATCGAGAAAAATAGAGAAATATCGTGATAATACGATACCTGTATAAGGTTAGCGAATAAGAACAAGTAGACAAAGCTTAATCAGTCTTAAGGAGGAGTCCGTATATTCAGTTAAACAAATATATTAATTGGTTATTTGCTGGTATTATACCAAGGTATTTGAAATGTTAAGCTTGTGTAGCACCTTTTATCAGGATTTATTAATAAATTAATATATATATATATATATATATATATATATATATATATAATTAGGAAGAAAATAAATGGTTTTGTTAGACAGAAGGGGGTAGAGAATGAAATGAAGTGCGATTGGATCCGGTCACAAATTTCGTAAAAATAGCTTCTCTGTGTAAAAAACTACCTTAGAGTAGCATTCCTAAGGAAAACTTAAAAAAAAACGCCCAGTACAAATTTAGAGAAGATCAATTATGGACGAGATAGGAGGTCGAGGAAAGTCTTGGGAGGAGGTGAAGGCCTAAGCTCAAAATAGGAGTTGAAGGCTTGTTTTCACCGAACCTATATGCTCCACATATGCAATTTTAAAAAATATTTACAAAAATACTTATTCTAGTCTATTACTGTTGATTTAATGGAAAATAATTACAAAAAATAAAAGCAACTAGATTCATAAACGTTAAAATTGAGTAATAACCAAATATATTAAAAACTATATAAAAATCACTTTACGTGATTTTTATCTCAATATTTAGATATATTTTTTGAACTATTTTAATCGCTAATTACAGATATTATCCTTTACTTCAAACAATTCACTTATTGCCATTATTTTATAGTTAATTATACAATGATAAAAAGCATACAAAAATTCATGACATCACACAAAACGTAATACATACATAATACAAGACAAAGCAACACACTTATTCAGTCACCCTTTCGTAGTAACAGCACTTTTACTGGTGTAAATACAACTATAAGTTAGTGTTTTGGTCCATTTTTTGTCATTACAGTTACGATTTAAATCCGTTTAACTGTTTCACTGCAGTCTCGTAACTTGGTAGGCCAGTCTCGTCTTCTTTTGTATTCTGTTGATCCTTAGTGTTAACAGGGACTACTACCGCTTCATAAGCTGGCGGAGGGCCGGGCGTTGGGGGTCGATGGATTTCGTTGCACAGATCTTCTGACACCAGCCACTAAAAAATTTATAATGAATATAAACGGACCTAAAACCTTATCGCTAGACATTTTTAAACATTATTTTTAAATTAAACAAAAATATCAAATTTATTCATAACCATCTAAATGTAAATAACTAATTTATTAGTAACAAAATTATAATTTTGTATATCTTTCTTTTCTTGCCCATAACTTTTTTTCCTACGATTTTTTAAACGTTGGGTTGTAATTAATTTATTCAAGCTTTTCATCATTTCTTGACTTTTTTAAAGCCTGTCTCTTCAAATTTTCATCTTAATTCTGTCAATAATAGTAAATACCGATGACGTAAGATACCATTAAAATAAAAGTGGGGGATTTTTTTTGGACCGGATTAGAAATAGGTAAACGCAATTGTAAATTTTGTAAATTTAAGGTAAAGAGATGTTGCTTTTTAACTTTTATGTAGAGTTGGACATATTTTATATGGACATATTTGTTAAGGCCAGTGTTTCCCAAACATTCTTGGTATCGGGAAACGCTTTGGACAAAAAAAAACTAGTTGGTGGCCTTCTTGTTGTATAATATCCAGTTCATTCGCCATTTAATAATATTGCCAAATAATGGGAAACATCAATAGGAACTCTAAGATTTGGTACAGTTATTTAATAGAGAAACGCCGCAGAAAACATTGGTCATGATGATTAACTCTCAGAAAACTAAATATATGTCGGCTATATTATAAATACAACAAAATAACGATGAAAGAGTTCTGATACTTAGAGTCACTGGTTGACTGCAAAAACAATACGTCCAAAGAAATACGAAAAAGAATATGCTTGACTAACCGCTGTTATTTTGTCCTAGGTCCTCAAATAAAGAATAGTAACAGTAAAGATAAGAATGGAGAAGGAAGATCTGAACATCATCGGAGTATACGGCCCAGAAAATAACAAGCCTCAAACAAGAGCGGCACCATCACAAACAAAAATCAAAGTCGAAGGACTAAATACGGAATCCACGGAATACTTATACAGAAAAAGAATATTAGAAAAAATCGCCGGGAATGAAATATTAGAAGACGATAACATCGATGAAAGCTGGAAAAAACTCAAAAATAACATAATTAACGCAGCAACAGAATCGCTTAGAGAAAAGAAAGTTACGAACACTAACATATCAAAAAAGAAAACACCATGGTTTAGAGAGGAAGTGAAGACAAAATGTGAAGAAAAGAAGAAAGCGTTTTTACAATACAGAACACAAAAAACACATCAGACATACAACCACTATAAGCGAAGAAATAAAACGAATACTTTAGTTAGCCAAATAAAAAAGGAACACTGGCAGAGTTTCTCAGAACAGATGCAACACGACTTTTACGTAACACGAAAAGAAATATAGAAAATTATCAGAGGACAAAGAAGAGAGATGAACGAACTAACAAAAAGAAAACACATTTAGAAGGAAACATTGTTAGACTACATTCGATCCCTATTTGCTAAAGGTGACGATAATGAACCAACAATACCAGAGAAGACGACAAACGAAGAAATAAATATTGAGGAGGAAGAGGTAAAAGAAGCATTAAGGGAATTAAAAAATAGAATAGCGAATCATCAGGACAAGACAGAATAAAGTACGGAGGACCAGATATGACCAAACAACAAGTGATAACAAATAAATTGAATAAAATTATAACACTAGTAGAAGAACAAGGTATTAGGTCAGGAAGATCATGCACTGATGCTATATTTATAATGAGGCAAGTGCAAGAAAAATCATTAGAATACAAAAAACTGGCATATTTATGTTTCGTAGACCTTACAAAGCCATTTGACTGGGTTAAATTAAAAGACGTTATCCATGTACTGGAAAATATCTATCAAAACAGTACAATAAAAGTGAAAATAGAAGAAGAACTAACCGACCCCATCGAAGCTGGCAATGGGATAAGATAGGAAGATTATTCCCATATTGTTCAATCGGTTTATGAATGAAATATTAAAACAAGTAAGAACTAAAAAAGGATACTAAATGGGAGAAAAACAACTTAAAATAATCTGCTATGCAGACGACGCAATACTACTTTCTCAAAGTGAAGATAATTTACAACGTATGCTGCAACAATTTAATATAACTGTCAGACAATTTAACATGTAAATTTTCCCAAAAAAAGACAAAATGCATGATTACAACAGCAAATTTACTAAGTTGTAAATTGGAGCTGGAAGGTCAGATAATAGAACAAGCATTGGAGTTTAAATATATAGGCATCACATAATCTAGCTACGGATAGCTCAAAACCGAAGTGGAAGATCAAGTAAATAGAGCAAACAGAGCCGCAGAGCCGCAGGCTGCCTAAATGAGACATTATGGAGAAATAAAAATATCGGGAAAGAAACGAAAGGCACAATTTACAAAACAATCATCAGACCAATAATGACATACGCAGAAACAAGACCTGACACAGAGAGGACAAAAATGATGTTAGAAACAGCAGAGATGAAAACACTTAGAAAAATTGATGGTAAGACACTATGGGACAGAGCTAGAAGTACAGATATACGACATAGATGTAAGCATCAAAAACTGAGTACGAAATAAAAGAGTAGAATGGAACGATCATATAAGCCGAATGACAACAAATAGAGTAATAAAGACGGCAAGTGACGGTTTCCCAACAAGAAGACGATCACTAGGAAGACCACGAAAACGATGGAATCACAATTTACTGGAGGCACATTAAAAAAGAGACAGAGTCATGTCTATATAAAAAGAAAAAGAAGAAGAAAATGTTCGCATTTCCGGTATAGCTTGTGTTGCTTTCGAGAATGCGTTTGATGTTATCTTTAAATGCATTTATATTATTAGGTTCTGTCTAGGTAGGTGTAGACTTCTTTTTGATTATAAGGTATCTCTCTTTCGCAAGATGTATCTCCGGTGGTCACTACCAGTTGAAAACTGGTGCAGGACTATAACATCTCTAAAGATTTGATTCTTGTCAGTAATCATAAAATCAATCTCGTGCCTAGTTTTTCCATTCGGTCTCTTCTACGTCCATTTCAGATGTTAGTTTTGTAGAAGAAGCTTTATTGGGAAAAGATTTTTTTCCAACAGAAAACTAAGGTGAGTTTCACTGCGCTTGTTCCTGTTTCTCAAACCTAATTCCCAGCAATATTTCTGTCTCATCCGGCTTTCTTCCTGCTTTAGAGCTCAGCTTTCTTTTAAACAATTCTACAGGCTTCTCTTTTCTGTCTGCATGTTTGCTGTTTAAAGGCCAAAGTAATTTTGAGGACTTCATACTTTCTTTTGACAAAATTTCTCTACAAATATTGCACTGTGGTTTATCCAAAATAACTGTAAATTCATATAAAATATACTCATCACTGTACAATCTGTTTTTTCTTTTATTATTTTTATTTAAATAAAAATAAATCCGTCCATCTGGCTTTTGTTGATCTTAAGAAGGCATATGACTCAATACCTAGAACCAAGCTATGGGAAGCAATGGAAGACATCGAAGTTCTACGAAGATTAATAAACGCGGTAAAAGCACTCTACAAGAATAACGAAGTAGCTATCAAAACGGGCAATAGAATATGCAGTCCATTTAAGATGACAAAAGGACTACTACAGGATTGCTCCACATCCCCCACCCTGTTCAAAATAATCCTGAAAAAAACCCTGAAACCATGGAAAAGAAAGTGCGAAGGAATGGGCATACCACTAAGGAACGAATATCTATATACGCTAAGTTTTACTGACGACCAAATAGTGATCGCACAAGACGAGGATGACCTCAGTTTTATGATGAGAAAACTGGAGCAGGAATATACAAAGAATGGTATGGAAATAAATCTAAAGAAAACTGAATACCTAACAACGGAGAATACAGAAATAAAACAGCAGGAGAAATAGACGAAGGTAAACAAATCAAAGGTACAGACAGTATAAGTATTTAGGTTTTATAATATCAAGCAAAGGAACAACGAAGGAAGATATAAAAAATAGACTAGGACAAACAAGAGATTGCATACGAAAATTGAACCCGGTACTATGGGATAATAACATCAGCATGAAAACAAAGAAAAAAATATATAATACCATGACAAGAAGTATCCTCACTTATGGGTATGAAAATTGGACAATAAATAAGAAAACCAAAAACAAAATAGGAGCAACAGAGATGGAATTCCTAAGGAGAAGCTGCAGAGTAACAAGAAGAGATAGAATAAATAACATGGAGATTAAGAGGAGAATGGGAATGAACTCCGACATAATAGACTACATCGAACTACATGTCAGAAGAGCAGACCAAAATCGATGGATAAATAGAATAACAGAGTGGAGCCCGATAGGAAGAAGAAAGAGAGGCAGACTCCGAAGATCTTTCTTCTTCTTCTTAAGGTTCCATCTTCTAACGAAGGTTGGATATCAACATGGCAATTCTTACTTTACTTACAGCAGCTCTAAATAGTTGGCTAGAGCTCAGACTAAACCATTCCCTTAGATTTCGTAGCCAGGAGGTTCGTCTTCTTCCTACATCTCTTTTACCTTTTACTTTACTACAGCAGTAAACGCAATGTTTGTTGTTTATTCACATTCTCACACTACGTAAGTCGAATTTTACAATTTCAGAAAAACCTAGGCACTAATGTAGCGCATCTTCTTTGTTAAATACGGAAGAAAAACGTAAGACGAATGAAATTTTGTAACTGACTCATAGATGGCGCGAGTAAAAACAAACATTTTTTCTATTAAACAACTGTACCAAATTTTAGACGACGTATTACATCTTTCCCTTGATTTGGCAATGTTATTAAATGGCGAATGAACTGAGTATGATAAATCAATGGGGTCGCCAAATTTTTTTGTCAAAAGGCGTCCGTGATCTAAAGAAAATTGGGACGCACTGGTTTAAGGTATACACGATTATTGATCTAATTTCGTAATTCTGCCTATTGTGATATTTTATTTTCTGCTTTGACACCTTCTGTAATATAATATAATACCACTCTTTAGCGTAAAAGAAAGT